TTTAAAAATATGAATAAAAATATTATTGATTTTCCATTTATGAAGTCCTAATATATTTGATTCCTATATGGACTGTGTTATTGCATACTTAAATTTTGTTTCTTCTTAATGCGGTGACGGGTAGAAATGAAACCCTTGACAACACGTTGCTGCTCTCTCTCGAGGCAATGCCGACACCTTGTTTGAATTTTTTTTATATCTTTACATTGCTATCTTTGTTTGATTTTATATTTCATTCAATTCCCTCCCCCCGAATTACAAGTCACTCATGGTTTTTAAAATTGGGATTAAAAATCCACTATAAACTTGCCTCATGAGAAGGTATTTACAGCGTACCATTTGTATTATTGTTAGCCATATTTGTCTCATCTCTCTATCGGCGCTCTTCCCTACCTTCAATCCTCTGTTGTTGTATTCACGACGTTTTTTCCTGTTACGGAAATGATTTTGGTGGTCTCGCATTGCCTTATTCACCAAGGGGCCTCCCTTCTTAAGTTTGAGTTCTAGCTTGAGAGGCCGGTCACATAAAAAACAGCCAGATCGAGCAGGAAGTTTCTGCTTCGGTCGAGGTCGGTCACATAAAAAACAGCCAGATCGAGCAGGAAATTTCTTCTTCGGTCGACTCAATACCGGTAAGTAGCCTACAAGAGCTTATGCATCTAAGTTTAAAAAGTAGAGCACCTAGGCCAACTTAATGACTAGTCAAGACACCATGTCAGGGACTTGTTTCTCCTCCAAATTTAAATTTCATTTGCTTACTAACTCATATTTTGGATCAAATATTTAAAAAATAGTTAATTTATGAGTTAGGCGATGTTAGACAATGCTCAATTGAAATTCTCTTTTAAAAAATAGGTAATTGGAAACTTAGACAATGCTACGTTGAAATTCCTTTATTGATTGGCTGTAAATTTGTTCATGATGGGGATCATTTCTGACTTCCAATCATTTTATTTTGATCGGGAAAAAGATGTACACCTCTTTCAATAATTTTATAATCTCAAATAAATCTTTGGGTCTATACATAGATCCCCAAGTTAAAAAACAATGATAATTAACCCCCTCTCTCACTGTCTGAATTATAATATTTGTCCTTTTTCTTTTCTTGAATCCACATGCAATTTGAACGCCACGTTAAACTTGCTTGTGAAGTTTTAGATATGAGAGTGGGAGATGAGTGTGTGCATGTGTGTGTCAAGAGAGAGGTTAATTCTTCTTATTTGAGGGTTACTTTTTTCCAATAACTTTTCATTTTATTTACTGTATACTTTGTACTTTTACTCTGATTATAGAAGCATAGAAGTATCATGTTAACGTTCAAGAGGCAGAGAGGGAGAAAAATGTTCTCTGGTGATGAATATAGTTAACTAAAGGGGGGCCTGTTTTAGGGTTTGGGTGATCAGATCATTAGAAAAAAGATGAATGTTATAAAGAAAACTATGTATATATCCACTGTTATAATAAAAATACCTTCAAGTTTATGTCATTACACTTATATCCAATTTTCGACCACCATTGTAAAGATTAAAAAGAAAAGAAAAGAGGGAACAGATAATTACATTGCATTGGGTTTTAGAAAAGCATAACTTCACTTCCTCTCTCTTGTTTACCTCCCATGCAAGAAAAAAGTTTTGACATTCTCCCTCTTTCTATTTCTCTTATGTTTCTCCCTCCTTTCTCGTTTTTATATGGAGAAATGATCCTATAGGACCCTCCTCACTCATGTGTGTAGGACTTAAAGGATCATTATTAAATTTGACATGAATCTATAGAAAAGTCAAATCCGACACTTAGGGATAACTTTTTAAGAGATCCATGCCAATTTTAACGTCTTGCACACATGAGTGGGAGAGGGTCCTATAAGATCATTACTCTTCTTTATATACATATCGTAAAATAACTGCTACTGCTATGCAATCTCAAATTCTCCGGCCCCTTCTCATTCTTTGATACCCTAACTTTCTCTCACTACATGATGCTCTTCAAAAGACCGACCCCCATTTGACCCATTCCATCTTCCCTTTCCCACTCTCATGCCTCCAAACCCCCACTTTCTCTCTCCAAACAATTGCTCTCGGCATGCCCTTAATTATTGATCCCATTCCATTGCGGGTGACTTATTTTTCTCTACTACACCTTGAAGAAGGGTCACGAATGCCAGAGGATTTTGAATGGATCTCTTTTGATAGTAAACTCAGAGTGGGTTTTTGTTTTAGAAGTTGAAGAGGAAGAAGAACCAAGTATTATATACAGTGAGCCCTTCTTCTCCGAGAATATATGATGATAATGAAACGCTACCTTCTCTTTCCAAATAGTTTCAGGTGCCGGCAGGTGCCTTTGTCTTTCTGTTCAAAAGAGGTGGCCGGCACCTGAAACTGTGCCAGCAAAGCTCTAGATCCATTCCAATCTAGATTTTAGATGCATCAACTCAATTGAGTTCTAGGGCAGAGAGAGAGGGGTAAACAAATTTCGATAGATAGAAATGAGAGAGGAGAGAAAAAGGGCAAAGAGAGAGAGAGGGAGAACATCAAACTTTATTCTTGTGAGGTGAAAGAATGGAAGAAAGGAAGAGAAATTTGGTTTTTAAAAAACGGAATTAACTCTCATTTAAGTTTTTGAAAAACTGAAAAATGAGCATAATTATTTTTTACTAAAAAAAATATTTATAATGGTGAAAAAATGGATATAAGTGTAATAATAAAAACTTGAAAGTACTTTCATAACAACGATAAATATAATAGATATATATGTAATTTGCCTATAATATAATTTGGACAATAAAAGGGTAAGTAGGCTGAAAGTTGTTTTCTTTATACTTAGAGGGAGTCCACGGCCTTTATGTAGATTTGAGGGTTTATTTAGGATTATAATTGTTAATCTATGGATATAGATATGTATCATACACTATGGATATGCATCTATATAGATATATATCTCTTGATAAGATTAGGTTGTATCTATCCATAATCATTGGTGTTTATCTTTATACATATCTCTTGATAAGATTAGGTGGTATATAGTGTTTATCTTTACGGCCCGTATAAATATTTATTGTATAGATACACATCTCTTGATAAGATTAGGTGGTATCTATCCATAACCATTGGTGTTTATCTATCCATAACCATTGGTGTTTATCTTTACGGTTACTGGTCGTATATTTATACGGAATCTTGTATATTCTTTTTAATAGAGTTATCTGCAGTGTTGTGAAAATTCCAACAATAATTACATAAAGGAGTATACATTTTTCACTTTTTAGAAAGTATACATAAAGTGTTGGCCTTAAGTAGTACAAGGTGGCACCAATTGCTCCTAGCCTTTAGATGTCAAATTCAACATTTGGAATGTATCATAAAGTTCAATTGTTATTTGAAAAACTTCTCAACCACCCAATTTCACATATAATGGTTAAGGATAAACAAACCTTCTTGTGACAACAATAAATTGCCATTATATAAACTTTTATTTTTCTATTTTTCGACAAGTTAAATTATAGAAGATTTTAAAAAGGTGAGGTTTGTTTAAGGTGCCCACCTTATACTATATACAAATAAGGCGTACCTCTAAAATTTGCGAAAAACTGTAGTTCAAACCTTTATGATGGCTTTAAAAGCTATATTTATCATTAATTATAAAATTTAAAATTTTAAAAACAATATTTTTTTTTGACGAAGTTCAGAATTTATTGATATCAAAGCAAGTTACAATATAGCAAATACATCATCAGCAATCACCAGCGTAGTAAGAGGAGCACCCCTCTTAGCTAAAGTGTCCGCCAAATCATTGGCTTCCCTATACACATGAGCTAATTAAAGCAAACATCAACTGAAAGATCTGAAACCCAATGGATTTAAGTTGCCAAGGAAAGCGTTGCTTTTTCAAACACCATTTAATCACATTCATAAAATCCTCTTCAATGATAACACCTGCCAATGTATTTCTGGCCACTAGAATTTTGAAGCCATGAAAAATCGCAAGAAGTTCTGCATGATTTGCCGTAGTGATTCCACATGGGCCAACATATGCATCTAAGACATTTCCTTGGCAATCACGTATTGCACCACCGTAGCCAGCTAGATCTGGATTGCCCAGCGAGCTTCTATCAAAATTCAGATTAAGCACCCACCACTGTAGCCAAGTAGATCTGGATTACCCAGCGAGCTTCTATCAAAATTCAGATTAAACACTCATGGATCCGGTGGCTTCCATTTAGTACAAGGTCTAACTTTAGACACATCCAACTGAAAAAGCTTACAAAAATTAATAAAAACATCGACCTTGGATAAACCCTTGCCTTCTTTGATAACAACGGACCAAAAAGATATTGTAATATTATTTAATACCGGACAAAACACCATGCTGTTCTTTTAAAGGTTATTCGATTTCTCTCAAATCATACTTTTCATAGAAATCAAGCATATTTATAAATAATTAAAAATATTGAAAATTAATCGTCCATATAACTTGTTACGAAATGGATTATTTTGAAAACTTTAAATTATTTATTCTTATATATATCTTAAGGTGGAGATCATTGAAAGGTTTTCCGAGTTGAGAAAGGGAACACGCGCCACATATAGCAGTTAATCCAGCGGGATTGCCATGCGAGTGCCTTGATTAACACGTTTTTGGCTTATCGTTTTTATAATCCGCATCCCGTCCGAGGTAGATTTTTCAACATTTTCATTGTTGTAGGCTTGGAAAAACTATGCGCCTCGGGATCACCGCTACGCTTTCTCTACGTGGTATGGGACCCACCACTGGGCGCCGCAGTAATAATTATCGTACGCACGAAGCAGCCCCAGAAGAGACAAGTGCATTAATTTATGTTTTAGCGGGAGATTAGAGCCAAATTAAACTTCCACCTATCCATAAGACTACCGATGCATCCATCGAAAATGATCCCAGATGCGTATAGGATCTTACAAAATATTATCGTTTAGTTTCAAGGTTTTCGTATATTTATACATCCACTTGATTTTATAATTACATATAAAAATAAATTTTGAGATGTTCCTAATATTTATTTAGACCAAAGTTGTGATAAAATTTAATTGGATAGTTTAAGGTTGCAACCTTATATATTGCCTCTGTTTTTAACTTCCATGGCCATATGCAACTAGGGCATAGAAATGAGAGACTGAGAGAGAGGATTTAGCAGTGAGGGCTCAACCTTCGGGCAAAATTGAAGAATACAGAGTTTTGCTCAGAGGCCATCGTTTGGAATTTACGGTAAAATTAAAAGAGTGGAGAGTGGGTTCTTGTTCACTGAGGGAGTTACTAGAGATCATGGCTGAGAACTAGGGCAGAATTCAAGACGGTGGTGACAGGAGACTGGTTCACTGGTTCAGAGAGTAGCAATCATGGCGGGAATTGGAAAAACGAAGCTTGATTCAGGGTGGTTGGCTGCTCGATCCACTGAGGTCGACAGATCAGGGGTTCAGCTCACCACCACTTATCCACCCACTGGTGCTTCATCACCATGGATGGAGGCCACGGTTCCTGGAACGTAAGGCTCTCTCTCTTTTTCGCTGTAACTCCATACTTCTCTTTCATCATATTCCATTTCTTGATTGGATTCAAGTTCAACTGATAATACTGGACTGTAACTTGCATTATTTTTGAACTGTTGCATGTTGGTGTTGGTTGTTGTTTTTTTTTTCACATGTTTGCATCAAAATTCTTTAGTAAGATGCCTATATAAGACCTTTTTTGGGGAGTTTCTTCTTTTATGTTTTTTCTATATATTTTCTCTAGAATAAGCCATGTAAAGTTTTATTGGACGGATACTTTATTAAGCTTTTCTTTCTCAATCAAATTCATTGTGGTGACAATTTTGATCAGAATTTTTGTTCTGTTGGTATGGCTTCATATGCCATGTAGAATCAAGTAGCCATAGCAACTGCCCATTTGCTATTCTTTTTACTGATTCTCAGTCTTTGTTTTTCAATTGACTGGGTGAGCAGAGGTTTAGTTGCAATTTAGTTCAAATCTGGATTCCATTGATTACTAAAATATCAGCATCTCAACTTTATTTTGGTTTGTCTGGTCTTGAATTGTGTGTTTGTGTTGTCTTCAAATGCTGAAATCTTCAGTTGTCTGATGAATCGTATTTACCTTTCTTTTGATATAGTGGCTTCTTGTGTGATTTTATTGGACTGTATATTTGTTGATTATTTTGCTGAAATGTACTTAACGTTTCCTCCTCTTTACAGAGTTCTAGGAACTCTCTTAAAGAACAAGCTGGTGCCTGATCCTTTCTATGGATTGGAGAATGAGGCGATCATAGATATAGCTGATTCCGGGAGGGAGTACTACACATTTTGGTTTTTTACAACATTTAAATGTTCTTTGGTAAAGAATTGTATCTCAAACCTTAAATTAAGGTGTTATTTGCCTTTATTGTTCCTTGCTGATGGAGAGTTTGATGAATGAATTTATCGACTGCTGGCTTTCTACTATGCCTCATAAAAAAATTTAGATCCATTTGTTGGTTTTTCCTATGTATCAAAATAGCTGATTATTAGTCATGTGAGAAAGATGTTATTTTGATCATTTGAACATGTACATCGGAGTCAGTGCATCAATTCCTCTTAAAATATGATGACTATTTATATTTATACAATATGTACATATAGATAGAAGATAGATATTAAAATATTGGGATTCTATAGCTTCAACATGATGTGGACACTCAAATTGGTGCACAAGCACCTCCAACGATCCATATTAGAAGGAAATAAGATGGACAACCGTGAGTTTATTAGATTTTTTATAAATTTTAAATTTTTTCTTCAAACTGTATTGGATTGAAAATTTCGGTGCTTACATTTCTCAATCAGGCACGCCTAAAAAAAATATCAAAAAAATAATTTGTGAAAAATAAATTAATCAAAATACCCCTAAAAATGTTCCAAGGTAT